TGAAATACAGCATACAAGCAGTGGTGTGAGAGGCACGTGGGGTATTTGGAAAGGATTTATTAGTTAATTTCAGAATGTATACTGGAGGGGCAGGGATCTTCACACTTCTCCAGGAACAAAGGAGCTGGCGGGCACCATTTACCATCCCTGACCCGCAACCTAGATACATGGACACCTGTGGGACCAACGCAAACACTCTCCACCTAGAATGCTAACAGTGCTTTCCCCCCGACTGCTCTCCTGTGGATCCGCCCACTCCAACCTGTCTGTAGCAGGCATCCATCCAAAGCATTGCCATAACCTGACACTGTGCAAGCAGCCCAAACAGAAACCAGGACCACTCCAAAGTGACTCTTGCCCTGGGGAGAGAAGCTAACCACACACATCAGTTCACCTGCAGCCCCAGCAGTGGGCTGGGGGCAGACATCTGGTCTGACTGCAGGCCTTGCCCACCAAAAAAGCTTCTCAGGGATCAACACAGGGAGAGTGCCCTGAATATGGTGCTACCACAGCTCTGGCAAATGCCTGCTCTGACCCAAGTCAAGCCCAAGGTAGCCCCAAACTGGCCCATTAACACAGGGACCAAACCCTGCTCACAACAGAGCCACTGCAGATGACTAGATTGAAGGCAAACATGGCTCAGCCACAAGAGCAGGGCACACACAACTAAAGTGCCCTTGAACTGAATTCCCCTGAACTTTAGTCCCCTGCAGTGCCAGATTCTAGTGAACAGGGGACGTTATATGGCAGGACACTACAGGAGTTCTTCTTCATAAGGCTACCACTTTCAAGGGCAGGAGACATAGCTGACTTTCCTAACACAGAGAAACAAACACAGAGTTAGACAAAATGAGGAGACGGAGGAATATGTCCTAAATGAACGAACATGACAAAACCATAGTAAGAGAGCTAAATGAAATGGAGATAAGTAAAATACCTAAGAATTCAAAGTGGTGGTCATAAAGATACTAATTAGACTTGAGAAAAGAATGGAGGACCTCAGTGAGACACTCAACAAAGAGAGAAAACATAAAAAAGAACCAATCAGAGATGAAGAACCTAATAACTAATATTAAAAATACACTACATGGAATAAATAGTGGACTAGAGGAAGCAGAAGAGTGGATCAGCAACCTGGAGTAATGGAAACAACGAAGCTGAACAGGAAGAAGAAAAATAACAATAAATAAAAATACACTAAGGGAACTCAGCAACACCATCAAGCATAGTAACATTTGCAGTATAGAGATCCCAGAAGGGGAAGAGACAGAGAAAGGAGAAAATTTACTTGAAGAAATAATAGCTGAAAACTTCCTGAATCTGGGAAAGGAAACAAAAATCCAGATCCAGGAGACACAGAGATCCCCCAGCAAAATCAACCCAAGGAGGTCCACACCAAAACACATAATTTAAATGCAAAAAAAGAGGATAGAGAATTTTAAAAGTAGCAAGAGAAAAGAAAACAGTTACATACAAGGGAAACCTATAAGGCAATCAGCTGATTTTCAACAGAATCTTTGCAGGCTAGAAGGGAATGGCATGATATATTCAAAGTACTAAAAGAAAAAACCTGCAGCCCAAAATACTCTATTCAGCAAGGCTATCATTCAAAATAGAAGGAGAAATAAACTTTCCCAGACAAACAAACGTTAAAGGAATTCATGACCACTAAACCTGCTTTACAAGAAATGTTAAAGAGGACTCTTTGAGCAGAAAGGAAAGACCATTAA